ATCTCCCCAGTTGCCTTCATATTGAGCATTTTATCATTTCTCATAAGCTTCAATTGAATTCAAAAAGTTGTGCATTTAATTCAAGCGAAAATTTAACGATTTTCCCTTTAAATGTCCTCAAGCATTAAAATGGAGCATTTTACATATATCTCAAAATTATGCAAATATAATAAAAAATTATTCGACTGCAAGAACTTAATCAAAATCCGATAAGAAGAACAATTAACTATCAGCAAGTCAACTATGTATTTTACAGGGCATCTGCTAGTTGACTTATTTCTAAGTGGATTTGACGTATTCTATTTTTATTTTGTAGCAATGATTGCAGCAACTTTAAATGCAATTGCAACTCGAGCACTATTTTTGCAATGTGCAACACATTTCAATTAATGTTGCACCTAAACTGGAATTTCACTCGACTATGAAGTTATTTAATTTAAGCAACTTTAAATTTCAATTCAATGCGTATTGCTAAGTTGAGGGTTAGTCAAGCATTACATTCAATTCAAGGCCAGAAATGTAAGCGAACCGTAAACCACATTCCAACTCAAATTAGATGCCTTTAAATTACTTAAGGCCAAACGCGACACGCGCTGCCTTGCCCCACGCCCCTGCCCCGCGCTGGTTGTATCTTAGCTGGAGCCATAAAATATGTCAGCTACTTAAAGCAACATAAAAATTAACAACACACTGCGTAATACTAAATCCCAGGCGCTGAAGAGTTTTTCATGATGCGAAAATTTCCCCAGCACCCGCGGAAAATGTGATTTATGCACATTTGTGTATAAAATTTAGTTGCTGCTGCTGCTGCTGTTGCTACTGCTGTTGCTGCCAACAAGTTATATCAACTTCAGGACCATAAAAGCGTTAACAATATTATGCGCGTTGCAAGTGGCAAAGTGGGTTGAAAGTGGGCAAAAAGAGCCACTAAATAAATCAGCGTATCAAATAAAATTTGTTAATTCGCGTGAGCGGCGCTCCAAGTGCCACCAAAAAACTTTGTGCCGCAAAACTTGAGGCACAGCATAAAGCGGTTTTTACACACACTCTCAAGTGGCACTCATATGTGTGTGCGTGTGTGTGTGTATATGCGTGTGAGTGTGTGCTTTAAACCTTGCCCAGACAAGCTGATAACACTCGTGGCATGTTGTCGTCTATGACAACCCTGTGCCACAAGCAGCATCCTTGACATTATTGCTGCTTGCGACTACTGTAAATTAATATGGCAGACTGCACGTTCCTCATGTCTCTCAACAACAGGCGGTGTCTTGCCCCGTCCAGGTACCACTTGCCCCTAATTCCTCAAGGTTCAAGGCTCTGGGACTTCAGACGCAGACAACAGCAATAACAGCAACTACAACAAAAGGTGCCCCAACATTTTTCGTATGGTAAAAAAATGTAATTAACTTATTTGTCTGACTTCCTACGCTTGGCCAAAAAGCAATTTGAAATCCTGTAAATATCCATATTTGCTGGATTTTATTACAAAAAAAAGAAGAAAATTAAATAAAAATATATATTTTGTCTTTTACAAAGTATATGTTTTTTGTGCACAAATTTGCCGACTTTTATGTATATTAAATATTATTGAAAAAAAATGTTGTTTGTCTGATGGAAAAAATCGATTATATTTCGTAGTGCATTTTAATATGTAAAGCTGACGAAAGCAAATTATTTATTGTATAAATTTGTACAAACTTTTCTAACCGAAAAACAAGTTGGAATTATTTTCTTTCCCCAGCAAGTTCGCTTCAATTTGAAATTGAAATACTGTTTTAACAAGTATTGTTTTTACCAAGTTTTTACCCAGTCGCTCTCTCTTTCTCTCTGATAAAACAATTTCTTTTTTAAAATTCTTAATGTGTCGCATAACAGTAAACCGCCTCCAAAAAAAAAAACTTGTTACAAATGAGCAAAAACATTAACTACAAATTTTTTAGTTTTTTTTTTGTGAACTGAAATGCGAAACAATTGTCGCAAAATTGCGCAAAAATAATAAAAATTCAATTAAAGACTTGGGACACATTTCTCTTTGCTTTTTTTATGCATATATTTTTGTTGTGGCTGTTTGTTTAAATAAGTATTTTACAGCTGGCTGTGCTTTGGGGCACGTGTTCATCCACTCATCCACTCATTCGTTCATTCACTCATTCACTCATTCATTCATTCACTTATTCGCTGAGTTGTTCAGTTTCAGTTGTTTCTTCATTTCGTTCGTTCGACACTTGCCATCAGATTTTTGTAACAACGCCTTTTATATTTTTTTTAGGTTTGGTTTCCTTTATTTTTTTTGTTTGAGCTTGGCAAATTGTGGAGCATAACAATAAGCGCACAACGAGCTGCAACAACAACAACAACAACCACAACAACAAACATTATGACAATGGGCAAATGCGGAATGCGAATGGGAATAGGGCTGAGAATCACAGTGTATACAACAACAGCAACAGCGACAAAGAAACAACAAGAACAAGAACAGCAAATATGTACTGTAATAATGATAATAATCATAAAAGCGAGTCCTTGTCGCTTCTTTCGAAGCGTTAAAGCCGCCACATCCGGAACTCTAGACAAGAGCACTGGCAGCAGCAGCAGCAGCAGCAGAAGAATGCCAATGAGTTATGTTGATGTGAAGCAACAAGGGCCAAGGACCACGAAGGACGAAGGGCGCAGAAAAAGGCACTCGATTCAACTTCTAGCTTCTACACGCCTGCTGTTGCGGCTGTCTCTGCTCTAACATGATTTAATTAAGCTCCTACATGTGCTAAGTAGATTTCATTCTTTCTCTGCCAAGTCGCTCCATATCTTTCTCTCTCTCTCTCTTTGATTCTCTATTCTGCTCTGCTTTCGTAATTGATTTAGCAGTTTACTGCATTAAACGAGAGAAAAGAAACCTGGCACATAAATTAACAAAGCGTCCAACGCTGCGTATGAATTATATTTGATTTGATTTAGCAAAAAAGCTGCCGCAGAACTTTATTACAATACTAAGTATATATATATGTGAATATATACATTCGGAAAAAATTTCATATGTGTACATGGAACAATTCTTTTATTAGCTTTTTGTTACTTAATAAACCAATGAATTGATTAATGTTAATTAGACATTTGCATTGTAAGATTTCACACATCCAAAAAACGTTTGACATAGTTTGCAAAATTCATATAACTTAATTTCTCATGTTATTTTCTTAATTGAAGCAAGACATTTTTTTCTCTGAGTGTATGATTATTTGCATTGCATTACATTTACTCAAGGCTCTTACTTTATGATACGGCAATATTTCATATTGTAGTTGCTCACTCAACTTGGGGATGAGGCTGCACTTTGGCCTCGATGACAAGTCGACAAGTCTGTCCGCCTGTCCGCCTGTCCGTCTGTCTGACAAACAAATTCAATGCCTTATTTCATATATAAACAAGATTTTCGCCTCTTTCAATGTGTTTGTGTGTGTATGTGTGGATGTCATGTGAAATGTGTTTGTCATTTATATTTGATTTGAGACCAGCACCAAATCCATTAATATTACCAAAAATGTAAGCCATAAAGCTGAACAACTTTCTAAGTATATTATTAAAATAAAGTGCGATAGCTCAGAAAAAAACAGCATATTAAATTGATCTTATTGGAATTTAATAAAATCTATATAAATATGTTTAATCAGATTCACTCACCACATATATATTAAGTATGGGTCATTGTCTGACAATTTATCAAAACTGAGGCGATTTATTTGCGAAATAACAAGCTGAGCAGGAATTAGAGACGGATTTACATAAATTGGCAGGTAGAATTTTAGTTCCGGTTCGGGTTCGGAGTTTAACTCAAGTAATTTCGATTAACCGTTTGGATTTAATTTCCTATCAAGGAATTGAGAAATAGGAAAGAAATACTTAAGATCAAACAATCAAAATGAATCCGGAACCGAATCAGTTCTGGGTCTGGTTCTGGTTTTGCTTCACAGTTTCAATTGGCTAATTTCGCTTAACGATTTGAAATTGATTTCCGATCAAGGAATTCCAAACTGATCCTAAGATACTTGAGATCAGCGAATAGGCCCGAATCGAATTTTAGTTCCCAATTGATTTAAGGCACAAAACAGAGATACTTGTTTGAATTGGATTAAATTGAGCAACTAAAGAATAAATTTTGAGATCGAATAGATGAAACCGAATTCTGAATTGCAATTGGTTAATTTCAGCTAACAGTTTCGATTTCAGTTTGCATTATCAGTTGAGAATCAGACAACAGTATTCAGATACCTGAGAGAAGCGAATCAATCCGAATTGAATTTCAGTTCTGGTTCCGTTTCTGAGTTTCAATCGGTAAACGGTTTGGGTGCCCTGTCAAGGAATCAGTCAACAATATTCAGATTTGAGAGACCAAATCTAATCGAATTTCCGTTTCAAGTTGTGGCTCTGACTTTCAATATATTAATTTCGATTGCGAATGAATTCACCGTCAAGCAATCGATGACTGTCGAATTTCCGGATCCTATTTCAAATATGAAATTGAATTTACATTTTTCTTGTTAAATATTAGCATATAAATGCTGAAAACAAACATTTCTTCATTCAACTCAATATTCGTCTAAGCAATTCAAATGCAACTCGAAGTGTTTAGTTAATGAATTAGCACTTACAGTTGATTACGGCGATTAGATTGTGGCATTATTCATTAGATTTTAAATAAATGACCGCAGTCAGAAATTGAAAATGAATATCTGTAGTCTTAGGCATAAAATGCATTTAGCTAAATAAATGTGTATAAATAAATAAGGCAAAAGTAATGTTGATAATCTCAATTGTGGCAGCTGCAGGCAATGATGTTGATTTTGCAACTAGTTATTAGATAAATAAGCAGCTGCCACAACAAGCTGCCTAACTTCTTAGCAAAATAAGCGCAAAGTGCACACAAATCTAAGGATATATATATTTATATATATATATATATATATATATATACAGATTTAAATGTGCAAGTTGTTTGTACTTACATATTGACTTAATGCGTTGTTCAGTTGCCCCGGGCTGTCGCTCAGTTGGTGTAGCAGTTCCAGTTGCCGTTGCAGTTGCAATTAAAGTATCCTTGATGGCCGTAGCATTTATCATTGTTGGCAGCATTGCCAGCAGTGGCAGCAGCAACAACAGCCTCACGCACTTGGCCATGATGCCTGCCACACAGTTGCTTGCCACACACAGTTGCTTGCTTGTTTGCTTTAATTATTTGTCCTTATGGTTTCACTCGAGCTTGATTAGAGGCATCTGATGAATTAGATTAATGTGCTTGATGTTGCTTCTAGTTACTGCAGTTGTTTCTGCTGTTGCTCGGATTCTTTGCTCTGGTTTAGTTTCACATGATTTAACAGTAGCCAGCAGCTGAGCTGAGCTCCTTGTTGTTGCACTTGCCCCTCCTGGTTGCGGCTGCGGCTGCAATTAAACAATCCATTTATCTAATTAGTTTCACGCACGCTCCAATTGCTGGCTAATCAAAAATGTGTCACTCAAACAAAAATAATCTTGGAATTGTTCATTAAACAAATTGCAAATCAATTACATTAAAATGCTCAACATTAAAATGCCTTCCATTTTAATTGCTTTAGAATTATTCAATCATCTAATCAAATCATATTATATACACAGTTGTTTACGTAATTGATTACTACAGAAATAGATGAAAATACAATAATTATATCATATGAATATTTAATCAATTAATATAGAAATTAGATTTAACCAGTCATGTAAATAAAAATTTAAAAATCTTATTTACATAAATAATTACAGCCAGGATAAGTAAAACAAATTATATATCGACTTAAATAAATAATCAATATATATATATATATATATATATATATATATATATAAGAGTATATTTAATTAAAATGAAAAGAATTTAATCTAAAATTATTCAATCACTTATTTAAATTCCGCTGACAGATTGTCAATGAAAATTTAGAGACAAAAGACGGATCAAATAATGTCGTTTTAAATAACTAATTACAAGTTTAAGTGAAAATATTATATTATTAACACAAATATTTCGTGAATAAAAAGGAAAACACTTTTTTCCAACAATTCCACAGTTTTTTTATGCAAAGTAATATTGCCTGGCTGCACAGACAACAACAAATTATTTAACGAAGCATTTTGTTTGTTTTAGACTTGGTTTTTTAATTGATCTGAATTTTGAGCGAGTTATTTTAGTAATTAGTTCCAATTTAACTCGATTCCGTAGAAAATGGGAATGTAATTTCATTAAAATTTACTTTGGCTCATTCATCACTTGAAATGAAAACAAACAAACATTAAAAACATAATTGCGATGTCAAGTTTGCAACGCATTATAAAAGCTATATTTGAGCATACTTTGAGTATTATCTACATTTCATTTTATTTTAAATGCAATATGTATATTTATATTTATTATTATTAAATGCTTGAGTCTTGGCTTTAACAGATGAGTCTATTTACCAAGTTTGAAGCTATCTTTCAGGCTCTATCGACAATTTGCCAAATTGAAATTTTACTGATTGTTTTTCACATTGTTAAAAAACCCACTCAATATTAAGAAATGCAAATGACTTTTGTATAAATGTATAAATGCTATAGCTCAAAAAGTTAATTCCACCATTTAAAAATACCTTGCTTCGATTAACATTTACCGTTTGCCGATAACCGATAAAAGAATTTCGTTGCTGCTCAAATGGCAATTACCACTTTGTGCGCTGGTTAATTTTAAATGTTTGATTGGTCGCCCAAGGCCCCAAACAGCTCATTACACAATACCAATTACAACAGCAGCAGCAGCAACAGCAACAACTAAAGCAACAATTAAAATATCCCTGAGAGATGCATTCCCAATGTGTAAATATTTAAATGCTGTGATTATCCCCCGCACACACACACAGCAGTTGTCAAGCTTATTAGAAAGAGTGTGTGTGCGGGTGTGTTTGTGTGTAGGGTGTGTGTGTTGGTTCGGGCGTGTGTGTAGTGTGTGGTTTGCACTTTTGGGGCTTGTGTGTTGTGTTGCGTTGTGTTGATGCTGTAAATTAATGCAGCAAGCTGAAAATTTCATTGTTTGCTTTTGTTTACGCAGAAAATTAACATTTTAATTGGATTTTGGACGGGGCACTTTATGCTTTTTGAGTGTGAGCAATCAATGCTTTAACCCTTGAACTTTACCCCCCCCCCCCCTTCCCCTCACACACACAAGCAACCTCTCAAAAAACAAAAAGCTATGCAAACATATATCTCTATTTATTTTGCGAATGAATACAAAAAGCGTATTGTTTATAACATTTATGCATTGTGATAAGGGTGAAAGATAAAGACCTTCATCATTGTTGCACAAAAAAATATATATATCAAGGTAAGTAATGCAGCAACATAAATGTGGAGAGTGCAAACAGTGTTGTGGCAACAAATGTTAAAATAAGAAAAATATATTTGAGCAAAACAAACTCAATGTTATCAATAAGCGAGCGATGCTCAACTAGCAGTTGCTGTGTGAAAAGTTATGGAATAATTGAATTTGGCTACTCTATAAATAAATAATAATTTAAAATGTTGCATTTTGGTAATTCTTCGGTTACACTTCCGGTTCCGGTTCTGGCTTGACAACAGTTCCACAACACTATCGTATGCCCTTTTGGTATTTTACAACATCCAAAAACATGTATCAGAATAAAGAGTAAGGGTTCCGTTAAAAGTTTTGAATCGCTTTCAAATTTGTTTCGCATTTTTGGTTTCATTGTGATATTTTATGAACTAATAATAACCAGTTTCCGTAACTGGCTCTTTAAAAGGGGTTGGAATTCGGTGGCAGTTTCGTGTCTGAATTTCCGTTTCCGGGTTGACAAACTGACTGCAAGCATTTCCACAACAAAATCATATCCCTGCTTGTATACTATATGCGTCCTTAATCTATAGAAAAGTTCAGGACAAAAAGTGTAATATACAAAAAGTGTATTCTGTACAAAGAATAAATAATTACACCTGAAAATGATTTTAAATATTTGATTAAGGCAAATGGGATATTTACTTAGCAAGCATTGTAAAAATTAATGGTAAAAATGGTTAAATATCATCAATGTAATAATCTGTTAATGTTTCTCGTACTTAATACTATATAAATGCAATAGCCATTATCATAATGACAGTGGACATTTTTGCTGTGGACAACTTTTCCACTTTAATTATGCCGCAGGCTGAGTTTGATGCTAATTTAATGAAATTCCTCGAAGTTGCGTCCAAATTAGGTTTAAACAAACTTTGCTTTAATTAACACAAGCCAAAAAGTGCCCAAAGCGTCGTCATCAATATGCAAATTTAACTCAAACAATTTTCAGTCTATATATATACATATATTTCATTTTGGTTGCTCTACCAAAAAAGTAGTCAAAAAGCTGACAAATTTATGCTTCCGCTATTTGCATAGAGCAATTTTTGATATTCGATACTCAATTTATGTGGCAAATGTTTTTTTACTCAGTTTCAGTGAAAATGTTGCCTTGACTGTGCATGTGTATTGATTGATATTGCAATTAGTTAGATAATTGTTTTATTTTTATAATCAAGTATGTAAATGCGTTTGCTTGTAGATTGAATTATGCATATTAATATGTTTTTTCTTAAACTCAGCTCAACAACAGCATTCAACAATTCAACACACATTCAGCAAAATTTAATTCAAGGTAAAGAATTTTCCACTTTCTCAATTATCTAAAGAATATAAAAATAATATGCTGTAATCAAAAGTGTGACAATATCAATATCACAATTAAAATTAATTATTGTCTATACTTTTTTAAGTTCCTATAATTCAATTGCGAAAGCCAAATAGAATGGGTTGTTTGCAGAAAAGTGACTACAGACTTAAATTGTTATTATTATTCTGGAGTATTTAAAAACTATTAATGCTGAATTTCCAAGACGTTGCCTTGAATATGCTTCCCATAAAAACAGTTCGTTAAGTTCACTTTTTAACTAATGCGAAAGAAAAACTTTGTAAAATTGTATTTTCAAATTTATGAGAATAAAAATTTGTTGTAAAATTTAATTTTCGAAAAGTTCTAGTTTAATTTAAAAGTTAAAATAAGATTTTCTCAAATTAATTAAGCCAATTTAATTAACTTTCGCACCTTAAACGACTCTTTCTAAACCGATTTTCTCATTTTTCTGTTAAAGTTAAAGTTTTCTGCTAGTTTATTACAGCTAACTAAGATGATAAAATATTTTCATAATTTTTCAATATTATTTTCAATATTTGAAAGAAAGCAACATTTTTGCCAAATTCCAGATTTATTAAAAAATGTTATACAGTTATAATCTCAATAAAAAAAATTGGAAAAATAAGTATTTTTTAAGTGCAATAAATGTGAGAGCCTTCTTAGCAAAAGTCTACAATCTAAATGAGTTAATTTGCGGCAAAGACTCAACTAAATTTGTTATCCTTTTTATGCGTTCAGCCTGATAAATATAGCAACTCATGGCAGTTGTGTAATCACTTTATTTAATTAGTTGCTTAGCGAAGGTGAGACAGCATGTTCAGGACTCAAAGAGCACTCCCAGCTGTCAAGTGAGTGTATTCATTTACACTCACTTTCAATCGCAAAACCCTTATTTGTAGTAGCGTTGTATGTTGTATGGAAAAAGCCGCATGAGATCAAAACACAAGCCCAAATAAAATCAAGTTAACAAGTGTTGCCCATTAGGAATATCACATTCAACCAGGTGAGTGGACGAGTGTGTGTCTGTCTCCGTGTCTGTGTGTGTTTGAGTGTGTAATTGTGTGTGTATGCGTGTGTAAATACAAGATAATTAAACAAGCCACGTCTGCACATTAATCACCGGGACAACGGTCAGGCGCCAGGTGATAACCACAAAAGCCAACCAGAAAGTGAGCGGAAAAAAACACAAGTTAGAATGTTTTGGGGGAGAGCGCTCGACCGGGCGATACCCTGTACTCAGCTAATGAATAGATAGTCGATTTGTTAATAAAAATAAAACAATTAATCAAATCAATCAAATCAAAGTCCAATGAAAAAGAATCAAACTTAAATATTAGAAATTTAAATATTTAATATCAACTATATCTGACTTTGCATTAACATTCTATAAACCATAAAAAACAGCTTTAATAATTACTAAAATTTGCAACATACTTAACGAATGTTGAATGTGCAGAATGTTGTGCCGTTAAGGGGCAAATTTACAGGCAACAATTTTACAGACTGTAGATAATCGAGAATGTAGAAATGTTGTAAATGGATAATAAATTTATATATTTCATCATATCCTTTCAGCCATTTGGAATGAGTGCAGGGTATATGTTTAGTGGGAAATAAAACCAAAAATTCAATTCCAGGCACGTGAGAGTCGACTTCGACGTGTACTGTCGATGTCCTTGTCGTCCTTGTCGAACTGTTCGGCTCTCTCCGTGTGTGTGACATGTGTCCTTTGTTGGTGTTTATGAGGTCATAAGATTAATGAGCGACAAGCTCATCTTTTGTTATTGTTTTCAGTGGCGTCTAATTAATTGCTGTACCCAGTTCCTTCCCCCCCCCCACCCTCATCCCCCCTCTATTCTCTATAGTGTGGCGCCCCATATCCTTTATACACAGCTTGCCACAGATATTCCTTATTCTCACCCCAAGTTAAGATTGTTGCAAGTTTTCTTGAAATTCCTTCAATGATTTCTGTTTTGGCAATTTCCGCCATTTTCGAGTCTTTTCCGCTAACGATAAACTGCCAAAAGTTCACATTAAACATTTTCAACAAAATAATTACACTTTCATAAATAGATAGACGAGAGAGAGAGAGAGAGAGAGAGAGAGAGAATGGTGAGGTGTGAGAGGGAGATAGAGAGATTCCCCTTGAAGCATTAACATCAATTGAAATTGAATACATTGATGGAATGCAGACAATTTTAACGCCTGTGGAAAATTGTACAATTTCTTTTCATCTCAAATAACCAACAATAATGCCAAACAAATCCCAGATGAGCATTGTTCAGGCAGGGATTAGCTTGGAGTGGTTGAATTGAATTGGAATCCGCCTCTCTGAATTTTGTCGGCCTACAAATGTGAGGCACGGTGAAATGAGCAGTACACGAAAAGCTCAGAAGATATTGTAATGAAGCTCGCAGGTCTCTTTTATCATTGGCCAACAGAGCATTTAGTTTAATTGGTTAAAGAGCCTTTATTTATAAGCTCAATTTGGATTTTAGCCATGCATCAATAGTTGGCTATAAGCGAAACGAATTCAGGTTCATAGGTGTGACTATAATTAAGTTCCGTTACAATCTTCTGATTCCGATACGGCCTTTTCGGCGCAAATGTTGAGTTAATTTTGAATTTAGGTGCTGATTGCGGTTCTAATTTTATTCGGTTAAAATGCGGTTGCGATTCTTGTTTCGGTTTGAAACCCTGCTGCAAATATATATCAGTCTGTATATATATATATATATATATATATATAGCAATCATTTATATTCATTTCAAATACAATATTCAGACTCTTTATCGAAACTATATTAATCCTTGTAATCCCAGTTGTAGCTCGATTTCAAATTGACTTCGGAAGAGGATTAAACATTGGAAAAAGCTTGCTTTAAAATGATGTCCATAATTAAATTAATATGCAATGTGAATAAATTATGTTAGTTAATAAAATACACCCAGCTAATTTACAGAGATCTCTCCCTCTCTTTCTGTTTCTCTCTCTCTCTCTCTCTCTCTCTCTACCTCTCTCTTTCTCACTCTCTCTCTTCCTGTCATCAGCTCATTCTTCCTTCTGATTAGCGCTCACACAAAAAATTAACTTAGCTGTCGGGAAAGAGTAACTTAAAAAAGACTTACTCATTTCAAGGAAGCAGAAAGAAAGAAGAAAAACGCACTAATGCGTATAACTAACATCATTTGTCACTCAGACCAAGAATCTCGATACTTTATCTCTAAATCACGCAATGAGTCCTGAAAATGAGAGCACGTGTTCGATTTTTGTGGTTTTTGCTCTAAGAGCAAGTAGCAAAATACCAACAAAAAAAAAGAGCAAAAGAGCAAACCAAATAAAAAGCTGATAAGTTCGAAGAAACTTGGAACAAAACTTTTAAAAAAGTTCGATACGCCAAACAAAGAGAAACGTAAATAGAGCAAGAAAAGAGAGTGATAGAGAGGGGAAGAGAGGAGGGTGGTTAAGAGCACTCTTTCAACTTTCAGCTGTTCAGCTGCATTTCACACAAAATTGCAATGAACAAAATCCACACATGGGTTCAACATACTTCAGAATATTTATACGTTCAGCGTATTTTTTTGTTGTTTTTACAGCGCAATGTAACAAATGCATTTTGGATTAGCATTAAATCACGTCGCTTTTCTCAATCCATTTCCGTGGCAAATAAATATTTTACTCTCGATTTATTTGGCAGTTGCAGCTAGCATTTGGAGGGCATCAAAAACATGCATGAAAAAATATATATATAAATATAATAAAATTTAGATCGAGTTGGCAAAATTGTTAGACAACTTGCAATTGTTTTTTTTTCCTTCGTGTGTAATTTTTGCTATTTAAGCTGTTATTTACAATGCATTCGTTTGTATAATTAAGTAGTGCAAAGAGAGATGAAAAGTCAAAGAAGAGCGGAACTCAGCTTTTGGGTAAGAGATTAACTGTCATATGATCTCATATCCATACTCTAATATAACATAATAGATAGAGAGCAAAGTGCATTACTCAAAAAGGAGCTCAACTTCCGACTAACAGACTAACTGTTATATCTGATAACCATAGTCTAAAATGAAATCCATTCATATGTTTAACAAATTGCAAAGAGAGCAATTAAAATTAATACCAATAAGAAAGAAGAAGAATTACTAAAAAATGTTATCAGCTTTCGACTAACAGATTAACTGTTATATGATCAAAGAGAGCAAACTGCACCTAATATCGATTAGAAAGAAGAAGAGACAAAAAATGCAGTACTCAAACAGGAAACCAACATTCAACTAAAAGATTAACAATTATATCTAAAGTAACATACATGCATATGTATAACACAACGCAAAGAGAACAACTATAATTAATATTGAAGAGCAGTACTCAAAAAGGAGCACATCCCTCGACGAAGAGATTAACTATTAAATGATCTCATAACAAAGCGCATAGGGAGCAGCTACAGTTAATACCGATTATACTATGAAGGAGCCAAAACTAAGAGAATAAAGTTTGCATGAAAGAGACAAAGGAAGAGACAGCTGGTAATATTTACTTGGGCTGCTTTTATTTATAGATATATAAACAGGGCTTTTAATGCCCAGCAGGCACATGAAAACCAAAAAACCTATTATCCCAAAAGAGTAGTAATCTAAATAAGAAATGACCACATTTGTAACTTACGTTTATATTTATTTAGCTAAAAATACTCGAAGGAAAAATTAGTCCATTTTTGTTGTTGTTATTCTTAAGAGAGCCGCTTAAGGAGCTCATTTTTTTGTTGTGCGGCAAAGAAACAGCTGTTTTTTTTGCTCTAATGCTGTTATATATTTGTGATGTTGTTGCTGTTGTTGTCAGTGTGAGTTGGTCACTTAAAGGAGACAGACTCTTTTTTACACTATGCACATTTTCGGATGCGAGATTCACTTGCGTTTTTGGCCCAATTTCAACACCCCAAATGCGAAATGCGAAATCAATTTAAACGCTTTGCTTTGCTTGCACTTTCTTTCATTCGCCTCGTGGAGGCGATCAGCACACGACAAACGACACTTTTTGGGAGCCCGAAAAAGACGCAAGACGCGCGCTGCTTGCGGTGAAACACGTGCGACGCGTTTTGACACTCGTTTGAGACTGACTCAATTCACGATGGCCAAAAGCTTTGCTTTTCACGCCTCATGCCGTTTTTCTTAAATCAGCCGAACGGCGACTGACAGCCACCCAATCACCCACCCACAGCGAACCGAGTGCAGGAGACGGCTGCCTTCGGCTAACTCCGAAAATATCAAATGCGGCGAATTGAGTTAAAAGGGGCAGAATGAATAAAATCCTCCTTACTGTTAAAGTAAATAGCAGCTAATGTTAGTTACTCTGTAGTCTCTGTGTTATTAGCAGCGCTGTACACAAAAATTGCCGTTATTACTATTTCACAGGAATTATGTTATTTAAAGCAGTATGTTAAGACATTACTTATGACGTGCAACTGTTGTTGAAAAATCCTTCTTATGTTAGCTTGTAATTCCTAAACACAATGGTCTATGTTACTAGCGGCACTTTGTACAGGACCTTCTGCTATGATTCTTTCATAGGGAATATGTTATTTAATAAAGCTGTTAAGGAACTGAAGTTCTGTTTATGATTACTGCAACTGTTGATAATTCCTTGGTGTATTAGCCGGCAATGCTTATAGTCCTGCTTTTAAAACTATGTAATATTATCAATGATGTTAGACTAATAAGGATTGGCCGTTACATTTGAAAGATAAATTAATTAATTAATCACAATTAATCATTAAATTAATCATTAAACAAATGAATCAAAAAATTGTTCCCTCGAAAGACTGCTACTATCTTAAATTTATCCATTAAATGTTTTTATTAGTTATTCTGGCAATTATTGCCCCTTTCTTACCTCATTTAGATAACATTGACTGCTGTTTATGTTCATTTTCCAGTTAACATTACTGTTAACAGTTAATTTTACATCATACCCCTCGCCAAAACACGTGTACTAAAATATCCCAAAAGCTTCCAATGATTGTTGTACGTACTACATTAACATAAAGCTTGGCAGTTAACTTCATGTAGTTAACAGTGCAAATTTTCCTTACTTCATTCAATCAACATTAAGCTCAGCAGTTAACTGCTGGTAGTTAACATTGGCAATTTCCTTTACTTCATTAACAGTCAACTGTTCACAGTTAACATAACATAAAACCAAAACGGGCAATTTTCATTTACTTCAACGTTTATTAATGCAAAAATCCTTCAATACGTTAACTTACAAATGGAATTCGAAACTGAAATACACAATTGAGAAATATGTTTGTATATATATATGTGTATATAAATATATAGCTGACCTAACACACACTGTTTAACTTGAAAGTCTTTTGGAGAAAATGCTTAAAAATTGGCATGCACACAATTAAACTACATAATATATAATGATGTAAACATTTAAAAAGAAACCTTTAAAGTTTAAACATTTAAGTAGTTTGAATAGTATTTTGTTTTTAATTATAAAAATTAATTTATGCTGTTTTTGTTGCTCTGAAATGCAATTGGAAATGTTAGTTGTTGACTTGATTTTATATTAGTTTTTCTCTCTTTAACTTAACTTATTTCGTTGCGCGCGCAAAATAAATTTGAGGGAAATTTTCGAAAAGTTCTTGAATGTTTTTTGAGACGAACTACATATTTAAAAAAATGTGTGTGAGAAATGTGTGTGAAACAAATTCGTTGATCGATCGAAACTCGCGACGCGTTCCATAAAAACAAAAAGTTTTCCGCATTTTCCTCAAAGCCCCCTCGGCAAATTGCCCCCCGGAAAAATGTACAACAGTTTTTCGCGAGCTCATTTACAAAATATACAATTCTTTCTTTAGTTTATCGTTCTTTCTTTCTTGCATTTTTTTACACAACTAAACTGTTGATTATGTGTTTAAATTTACTAATTGTAAATGTATATTTAATTATTACTTTTTTTTTAGTTTTTTTTTTAAGTACAGCAAACGGGCTGATTTTTGTTGTTGTTTTTGTGTTGTTTATGTGTGTTTTTGCAACGTTTGCTGTTTTTTTTTCTTTTTTTTTTGACTAATTATGCCAAAAAAATGGAAATATGCTTCTCGAGTTTTTTGGGTTTATTTCTTCTTCGCTTTGACTAAGACGCATTTTGTTTATTTGTTGTTTGTTTGTTGCTACTGTTGTTGTTGCTGCTGTTATTGTTGTTGTTGTTGTAGTGGATGCTGCTCTTGTTTGTTGGATGTTGGATTAAACGTGCCAGACGCTTAAAATCATTTGAGCTTGGCATATGCATCGACCTTTTTGTGGAACTGATTGTAATATTCCAATGCAACATTGCGCGTCTGATTCAGCGCCTGGTTAATGTTCTCCGGGGAGAAGCGACCACTGCAAGGGGCGAGGGGGGGAATATAAATATCGATTAAAATATAGTTAAAATTATAAAATATAACAAAACACATTTGCAGTCCAAAACACGTTTATACTAATATAAACCATTTCATGAATTTTGAAAGATGCAGTATCCTTGAGAAACGTAATTTAAACTCGGAGCACATAGAAATACCTCAGCCCGACACAAATTCTGGCATTCCTGCAGCAATTAAAGACTCAAAATGGGGCACAATAGGTCTAAATAGCACAGCATGAAGCAAAAGATTGGTTAAGATACACAGATTTCGTTAAACAAATTACTACGAACAAGTCTAATAATTTGTATATTGATTTCAGTTTGGGGTTTTGTGAAACTGTTCCTAAACAATATTATATATAACAGCTGGGTTCAGGTTATTTTCCCATCGAACTCTCTCCACTAAAGCATTCAAAGTAACCTTTGAATATAACTGAATATAAAACAATTAACTAAAGAATAAGATGCTAGGCGTAGATATGCTTCAATCAACAATTAAATTTAGCGTTTAAATTTGATTATAAGCTGAAACTGGCTGCATTAATATTTGATACGGTCTCCCCACTAATTAAAAGAAATTGAGAAGAATCCAAGCCTACAGACAACCACCGTCTTGGCTCACCTAACATAATATATCTGTAAATAAATAATGAACTTTTGAATTACTTCCTGAAACAAAACACTTTTTTTCATTTCTTCTCTCATTTTAAAGTTGCTACACTTGCTTAGATATATAGTTGCTATTTTGGACCATAACTGTGCATTGATAATCTATATATATATATATATTTATATTTCTCTACTTACACCAGCACCTTCTCCTTGATGATCGTTGCGGACTTGTCGTAGCTGCTGACTGCCAAATCCTTGGCGCCATCGGCAATGGCCTCCAGTTTATGCGAGAAATTGGGCACATATTGATCGATCTACAAGAGAACAGAGGGAAGAGGGCAAAAGAGAGACAAAATATTAGAAATATTGTTAGAATTATTGTTAAAACTGCTGATAAAACCGGTTAACAAAGAGCTCATAAGCCATCAACATAACTTTCCCAAAAATAACAAAGAAAAAAGCAACCGCTGCGAGAATGATGTCAGCAGCATTTGATCTCTATGTTGAGGCACCAGTCCTAGTAACAATTTAATAAATTAATTTAATTTCTACAATATTCCAAAGCAACTAACAAATTGACAAACTATATAAACTTAAGAATTAAATAACAAAATATATATCATTTATATTAAGAATATATAAAATTAGAAATATGTAAAATGATATATATAATATAATAAAAATATATATAATAAACAAACAAAAACTGTCAATAAAAAAATCCTTCGCCTCGATCAAAATATAACAGTAACCGTTTAACAGCCGCTTAACAGTTGCTTGACAGATAATCGTCAGATTTCAACCTCCGCTGTAAAGTGAAACTCACCGTTTTGGCAACCGCTGGCCACCTGGTGCGCCACCAGTTGAGGCTGTGCGTGCAAACTGTGCAGCCGGCATTGCGCAACACTTTCCACACATTGACGCTGGTTTGGATGGCCGGTTCGGCATAGGGGGGCACATGCTGCTCGGCCCACTTGTAGCCGCGTGCACTTGCCGACATTGTGGCATACCAGCCGCGTTGCACATGGGGCAACATGCCGGCATTTTTCAACACTTTGCCCGTGGCTGATTTCTCAAAAATGCCCTTGCCATTCACCTCGGTGTCGTAGCAGAGGGCGCCAGCAATCAAAGCTATAATGAAAATGCTGCCCAGCGTCCATTTACAGCAACCGCATTTCTTCTTTTGCGTTGCGTTCTGTTTATTCTTTTTCTGTTGTGCGCTGCTCTTCTCCTGCACCGTCTGCAGCATGCGTGTGAAAGACACACAAAGAGAGAGAGAATAACATAATATTAAGTCAACGTTTATTAAAAGCTCTGTTAAAAATAGAGTGGGGGTATTTTTCTTTTTTTAATTACCTTTTTGGCAGCAGGCGCTTGTTTGCCCTGTTTGCTTTGTTTCGGTTTAACCTGAGCCATATTTATGTGATTTTTTGCTTTTATAATTTCAACTAAACTTCTTGCACAACTGCGAGTACTTCAAAAACTGCTGTTTAGAAACAAAATAAAATTGCAATAGAGTGCGAGCGAGGGAGAACCAGCTTAAATGCTTCTTCAATTCTGTCACCGAGTCGCAATTAAAGAAGAGCTTAGCAAAGTCATCGGTCAGTCAGAGTAGAAGAGAGAGCGAGTAGGAGAGACAATTAAAGTAATTCACGCAGACAGACAGATTCCTACACGTAGTCAAGTAAAACACACTAACACGAATGAGCAGGCAATGGGCAAAAGGCGCGCAAAAATAACAGCAGCGAACAGCGAGCAGAGGTAGCGACGGCAGCAGCTGCATACGTCACAAGGGCACTAACAATTTTGATGACGCGTCATCAGCTGGACACCAAAGCAGAGTTAGAGAGAGGCAGATGGAGGTAGAATGAGAGCGTGCCAATTTGATCAACTTTCAAAGCAAACACAAAACAATCACCTAACACTAACAGAGCTACAGTGGTTACTCGCTATTTGAAACTGCAGCAAAAAATGTCAAAATTACAACGTTAAATTATATTTATAATTTATGAATATCAATATTAAAAAACAAAAGTTCCACTTTCTAACTGCTGACTTCCAATTTGGGAGTGACCACTGTACTTACACACATGACATACACACATACACATACATATGTAATAGCAACTGTTGATAATCAAACCAGTTGAATGAACTGCAATTATTTTCTTTTTTTTGTTTGACGTGAAAATGAAGAAAACGTGTTTGGAAATTGTTGACAACGTAGCAGAGGCAAAAAAAAGTGTGAAAACGATGAAAAATTAACAGAGAGCAATAAGCCAACGTTGAAGACGCCACGTGTTGCAGCATTAATAGCAAAGAGAAAATAGCCAACAAGACTACAAGAAAAAAATTCTGTTTGCCAGAGTTTCTTTCATGTTGCTTCTTCGGCTGCGGCTGCTGTCTGTCGCCATGGGGAATTTGTGACGTGTGCAGTGGTCAAATGCAGAGTCAGGCCTCATCTTCTTCTTCTGCTTGGTACGCTTGACATTTGTTATCGCCAAAATGGAATGGCACCACCACCGTTATGTTTTTTCTCGGTGCGCACAATCAACAAGGGTGTGCTGCAGCAGAGCGAGATAGAGAAAAAGATGGGGGAGTGGAGGGGGGGTTGAGCAAGCTCAAACAACCAATCGCAGCTAGAACACATCATCCGTAAAGCCAAAAGTGACGTTAGATGATCATAAAAAGCTGCTTGTGCTGTGTGCGATAAGCGCAGCTCACACACACATAAATAAGCGGCAAATAAAAGTCGTCAGCCCGCATGGCAACGCCATAGGCAAAAATTCACACAGTTATAGAAACACACACACAATAAACGCACTTTGCGCTGCAAATTAGATAAAAAAGAAAGGAGAAATAATTCAGCGCCCGGCAAAATGCGTCGCAGCAGCCTCTCCATTTTTCCTTTCTTTCTCTCTTCAATTGGCGCGTAATATTTTTGTGAACACAATTGTAGTTCCAATTAGAAACTATTTCAAACTCTTATTCTATCTTTTTTTGCTTTTTTTAATTATAGGCGTTGAAAAATACTTTTTTGTTGTGCAGCTACTTGCAATGAACTGACAATCAGCGCGCAACGTGTACACACAATGGCGTCCATGCCATTCACAAGTTGCGCTCGCACAAACAGCTGCTGGGAGTGTGACCAGTTCTTAATGTAAGCGGTGGAGCACGCAGTGCGACGTAAAGCAGAGTGAAAAATGTAATATGTATACTTGCCTTAAGAACAGCTTGCAGATCATCGATATAAGTCTCTTTACGTTTGCTCGCTTGCAATTCGACATTTAAATTGTGAATGTCGTACAAAAATGCATGATACGATTGCGATTCCGCTAACGTTTTGGTGGATTCAGTCCAATTGTCATCTGTAAACGTAATAGAACAAAACTGTTGCACAACTGTTGAGTATAACAGATTAATAGAATTACCGATTGCCTGCAATAACAGCAGACTGGGCAACTGCTGTTTCTTGTAGTTCATGCGCCACACTTTAAAGCAGTCATCGGCGCCGCTGCTCAGTAAACAGCTGACGCAGCCATCGACTTCCGTGCGTTGCTTCTGATTGCTATTAAGATCACGCAACAGCGTAAGGAAAATGTTCGCATGCTTAACAGGGCTGGCTATGTAACGTTGCTGTAAACAGGTTGTAGTCGATTAATCGATATGTGTAATTGTTATCGATAGGCTGTACTCACCAGCAATAAATTGGCGCTACGCTTAAGACTCGACTGCAGCTCCTTCGGAAAATTGTTATATGTGGCATTAAGTGAATAAAAGCAAGCAAAAAATTCCTGCTGATTAATTAACAACGTATCCGATTTACGATTAAGAGTTATGGCTGCATTCAGCACACGTTCAATGTACTCCACAACAAATTTGCTGAAATTCTTCAGCTCCAAATTGGGCAACATCAGATTCTGCCAGACTTTGACGCCCTCCGTCAGCGATTGATGGCCACCCTGTCCAATGGCCCAGAGGATACTGAGGCAAATGTTGCTCCGGTTCTGATACGAGTTCCGCAACATTGCCGTCTTTGCCATGTTGCGTGAACAGATGTTGGGCCAATGTTGCCCAATTAGCTGCAACACAAACTTATAGCCAGCAACATGCTGCCCCGCATTCAGTTCTGTTGCCATGCTATCGAGCAGCGAGTAAAAGAAATATTCCAAATTCGTTTCACCAACACTACGTAAAAATTCCAAAATGGCTTGTTTCAAAGCCGGACTAGCCAAATTGCACGGATATTGGGCACTACGGCCGGAAAAAGTGGGATCGCTATCAAGGCAAATAATTCCGTTCAAATAGCTGGCCATCTGTCAAGCACAAGATAATTCAATAACAGTAACAGTAGACGGGCTTATTTTAAGTATGCACAGGGTGTTTCGGGCATCAAACTTACACTGCTCAGCCAGCGCAGCTCGGAGCCGGGACAGCTGATTTTGATCTGTGCCAGCTGTGCCATAAAATCATCGGGTGTTATTTTTTTTATGGCCTGTTCCAGCGTTTTAGGTTTCGCCGTCGACGTCGACTTTGACTGCTTCTTAGCAGCATCTGCTGGTGCTGCTGTTGTTGTTTTAGCAGTTTTACTTTTTCCAGAACCAGATGCATTGCTGGAAGTGGATTTGGTTGGCGAAGCTTTATTAATATTATTGTTGCTGCCATTGTTGCTGTTGCCGAATAAATTCATATACTGTTGCGCTGGCACTGCACATAAGGAGCGAGACAGAAAATAATGTTAAGCTGTGCGAAAGTAATTAATAACTGTATTTAACATACACAGCTCTTCCAGTTTTGGCAGCTGGGCGGCAATTCTCTTCTGTTCCGTATGGGCGCTCAATTTCTTTTCTAGATTCTTTTGTTTACGCGACTTGGAGACGACTTCCCATTGATTGGATGCCGACATTTTTTTGGGTTGCGTTATTATCTCAGGTAGTGTAGCTGCTTGGGCTGTGTACAAAATATATATAAAAAAATAAATACTCTGAAATTGCTGGCAGCTAGCAACATACTGATTTTAGCACATGCTTTACAGCACTGGCAAAGCGCTCTTTGTCAATCTCTCTCACGCTCCCGGTCTCTTCTCTGTAATTCCTTCTCTGTAGCGTGGCAGCTGTTAAACTACAGACAGCGGGCACATTCCTAACTCTTCAGGTGCTAAATCAACATTCAAAGAGTGTTGTATTTATTTTCATTTGGCCACACTGAAAACACACTGCTTGAAATTTGAATTGTTCACCAGACAGATTCGTTTAGTTTTTATAATTGTGCACATTTGTAAATATATTAAAATTAATATGCATTTAAAATGGGTACCATTCTCCGTTAGCAATTTTTTAATAAACTTTTTTAAACACGGCAAAAAGCAACTGCTGTAATTCCTAACAGAAAAATGTTATGCCTCTCTTTTCAGCTGTTAAGTTAACAGCCAAAGAGCGCCAATGTTAGCTAACAGCGCAATAATCACCACACACCAGTATTTATGGATTAAATATTATCACACCGTGGTCACACTAGCTGAATGTCAAATTCAATTTTGAAATTAGCACGACTTATTTAAATATTTTTATAAATATTTAGGCAGATATTAGAAGCTGTTATAATTTTCGACAGCTATTAGAAAAAATGTACAAGAAATTACTTAATCACTTTGGATTTGACTCATATATAAATGCAACAGTCAAAAATCCGTTATTTTACGTTTAGTTGCCGTTGGCAATATTTTTTCGATCACTTTTCAACCCATGTGCGCTTTTGGTATATACTGCAAAGCGTTACCACGGCCGTACTGCGCACATGTTAACAGCTGTTATTTTGCGTTGAATATTTGAACCGAGCAGACGTACGTCGCGGACGCCCTGTGTTTAAAACGCGGTCTCTACGTACAGTGCAACCATTTTGCCTACACACACATACATATATATTTAACAGTGCATATGTATGTGTGTTTGTGTACAAAAAATTAAAGAAAAGAAAAAAAAAACCAGAGCAGCAATAATAAATATTTTTTTGCACTAGCTTGTGAAAAACTTTTCAAGTGTTTTTGTGTGTTGTGCAGCAACAACAACGACGACGACGCGCTAAATTTTTTACGGCGCGTCGCCTGCTGTTTTGAGTGCGAGTGAGAGCGTGTGAGTGCGCTGACTGCTGTCTGTGTGAGTGTGATTGTCTCTGTGTGTGTCTGTTTGTGTTTTGTGCCTAACAATTTGCCGCTAAACACAAAAAGCAGCTGAAGCCAGAGGCAGAAGAAGAAGCAGTAGAAGACCAGCTGACGACGAAGACAAAAACACACACACATAGCCAAAAAGTCAACGATCGATTTACGTCTGTGTGTGTGTTTGTGTGTGCAAAAGACGAAGCAGAACAGCAACAAACGAAGAAGAAAAAAACACGTGTCCTGCTCTAACAACAACAACAGTTACAGTTACAATTTAAAGTGCGCGCAATTTGTGAAAAGCAGTAGAAGAAAAAGAAAAACGAACAAAGAAAACAAAACACGCGAGATAATATCGAACAAGATAAAACATGTCTTCAGTACCGCTGGCCATCAAAACGGAGGAAGTCATTTTGGAAAACGCCGAATACAACAGCGCCGAGGAATTGGATGAAGAGTTACAGTAAGTTACAGTACATATATTTATATATAGTAAGATATACAACAGTCAAGGAAAAACAAAAAGTACGCTCAACATTTTTATTCGTATTTTTTATCACGCAAATTATTGATTATTTCTCGTCTCCCTTGCTCTCTCTTTCCATCTCTCTCTGTCGCACGTAAAACGTATAATTTTGCCGCCTGTTTTGCCGCACAAAACAAACGCGGCATAAAAACACCACCACCATGCAAGACACACAACACTCACTACACACACACACACACACACACATATATGGGAAAACGACAGACAACATTCCATATATTTCATTTCCATTTGTATCAGCTCGTTTCGTTTCCACATTGTGCCGCTGGAAAAAGGTGACGCTACTTTTTTTTGTTTGCTCTGCCAGCGTCTGTTGTTCATATATTGTTGTTGTTATTGTCGCCATATTTGAAAAAACGGCTGTTTTCTCGACTTGTGTTTTTTTTTCTTCCAATGTTTGGCTTACAACACTGCCGGTAAAAATAGTGTGCATGCCATGTAAATAAATTTTTAATGCTGTTGTTCTTGTTGCCGTTATTGTTTTTTCTATTTTGACTTGCGATCTGCTGTTAGCGCTCTCTCGCTCGCGAAACAGCTGCGCTGCTGCTTATCGCCAACAGTCTGTCTAATCTTTTTTGTATGCTAGTTGCGACCAAATCAGCTGTACCGGTATATTTTTACCATAATCATCATATGGCTACCTGAGTATGCGTGTACGTTCAAGCGAGAGAGCAACACTCAACCAAAAATGCAAAGAAAAAGAGAATGTAGTTGTTTTTTTTTTGTATTGTTTGAGTTATTTAAGAATTTTTTATGTTTTATTTTTTTATTCAAACCATCAAAATCATATGGTTTTGGTACTTCGACTGCGTTATCAGCTTTATTCTGATTTTTTCTTCGCATTTTGTTACTGTTTTCAACAGCATATGTTCCCACAGAGAGAGCGAGCAGGAGAGGGAGAGCGTGCGAGTGAATGTCTGACGTAAAAGAAAGCAATCTCTCTCTGTCTCCCTTTGGGCAGCTGACAGATTGAAGGCTTTGCGTATGTGTGTGTGATAAGGCTGTCATTTGCCATATGTTTGTGTTTGTATTGTGTAACTGCAAACGTCGTCGCTGCTTTATCAACACTGTCAAATTGCGCAAAACAGCTGACAGGTTTTTTTTTATTTATTTATTTTTGTTTTTATTAAAATCTTGTTTATTTTCAGTGAAAAATGGAATTGAGTAGATTGATAAAATGGCAAATTTTATTAAGTAATAAAAACAGCTGCGCGGCCGGTAAAAAGTGCCTTTGCTAAAAGTCTCCAAATCCGCGCGTTGCAACTGCTGCTGCTGCTCTCTCTTTCTCTCTCTCTCTGTGCATGCGTGTGTGTGTTGGTGTGTGTGGCGTCATTTCCGTTTTTCCCCACACACTGGAAAGGCCGCTTGTAAAATTGACTCATTGCGGGGAGCTCACACATATGTCTGTGTTTGTGTGTCTCATTCTTCTTCGTTTGTGCCCATGTGTGTAAGAGTGAGTGAGGTGAGTGTTTGCATTGCACTCAAAAGCTTGTTGCTCCTTCGTCAATACAAGAGAGAGAGAGAGAGAGAGAGATAGCGCAGGAGAGAGTGAGTGGTGGGAATATAATAAGGGGAATTTTGCAAAAAAGTACAGATGCCGCCACACAGCGCAATGCTTTTTACTACGACGTCGACGTATTCATTGAAAAAAAAGAAGAAAAAAGAGCAGCATGTGTGTGTGTGTGGCCCAATAAGAATTCTATACACAAAAGATAAAAAGCTGCTGCGCAAATTTTTGGGCGATGCCTACTGCTGTTTCATATGCCAAGCGTTTCAGTCACTGTGTGTGTTTCAATTTCCCATTGCGTTTCTATTTATTGCATGCGGCATTTATATTGTAATGGGCAACCTGCGCGCCTGTGAGAGTGAGAGTGGGGTGAAAGAGAGAACGAGATAGAGCGAGAGAGGAGAAGCGGCTTTGTTGTTGATGAAAACCACATGATTTTGTCAGAGTGTGTGTGTGTATTAGTGTGTAGCTAAAATAGTTGGATTTGCAAAAAATGTATTAAAGATTAACGCAGACGTCAGCTGTGACTTTTGTGTACGTAATAGCGGTTTATTTATATATATATATGTGTGTGTTTTTTTTCTAATCGCATACAACACAGCTGTTGATTTCTTTCTTTCGCTCTTTATTTTTGTCACGCTCCCCCCACTGCCCGCCATTGCTGCAGTCACTGCACCTGCTCATCTCAGATTACCTCATGCACAAGTGTGTGTGTGTGTATGTGTGTGGGAGCTTATGTAACCGTTATGTGTAGTCTGTCACCTTGCATCTCATTCTCACACACTGCTTTGAGCGATTGCAACGGCATTTTTTTTTTTCTGTTCTGTTCTCTGTTTATATTTTTTTTATTGCAAATGGCGCCAAAAGACTGACACTTATTCACTGTGAGGAGTGAGATGGAGGTGGGGGTTGTGCAGGTGGCTTCTAATTTTTTTTTATATTTGTTTATGCTACATTGTTGCCTGTTTATTTTGTTGTTGGCCATTGCACATTGCGCAAGTGGGCAAAAGTTTATTGCGTTATACTGCGCATTTTGCCAGTTGCTCCCTCCTCCCTCCCGCACCCCTCACTCCATGCTTCTACTATTTTTTTTTTTCATTTACTACGCTTTAGTAGAACGCACTACAAACACACATACATTGATACACATTTGCATTGGTATTGGTGTGATTTTATTTGGTACGTGACTGGGCATAAAATGATGACTGCCATTTTTTTTTAGAGTGCAACAGATGCTAAGTCTTCTTGTTCTCTCTCTCTCTCTCATAAGGATAAGAATTTTAGAGTTCTTTTGTTTTTCATTATAAACTATAAAAAGATAAATATGCATTAAAAAGGTAATTTGGGATTTTTGCCATAAAAACTAAAGCCATAAAAATAAAAACAAAGGCAAAATTTGAAATTGGATTCTTGTCTTATGTTAAATAATAAACAATAAAAAAAAGTTCAGAAGCAACGAGTATATAATATAATAATAAATAATAATTAAACAAATAGTGGCAAGTCAAGCATCTTTGCTAGGCCTTGCTCATTGAGTGATTAATAATTAAATTAAATACATTTTATAAAGGAAATAAGTTCTATGAATAATTTGATTGCTAATATTTATTTTATGTGAACTAATATCAGTCGACACAGAAAATATATAAAAAAAAATAATATATATATATAAAAAATTGAGCACATTGGGCTTTTTTAATAAGTAAATGTACAAAATAATAAGTAAATTAGTAAATATCTTGTATATTTTTAATGTAGTTTTTAATTAAATATATTAGAGCATAGTTATAGCATAATTAATTATAGTGAATATAATTAAATAATAAGTAGAGTAGTGAACATCTAAAATATTTGTATTTCAATATAGTATTGAGTAATTAATTATAATTCATAACGAACTAATTTATTATAGTTAATATATTAAAATAAATAAAGTAGTGATTCTTTAAAATTATGTTTTAATTAAAAATATTAAAGACCAATTAACAGTACTAGCTAAAAAGATCTTAAATTTTTATCTTTATTTTTAATTTATTATTTATATTTTTTAACTTAGCAAGATAATTTTACTGTTCTCTTGAGATAAGCAAATCCTAAATATATATATTTATACATTACATAACTCTTGTGAATAAACATATTCACATATGCTTATCCGCGACGACTCCACCTGCAATCGGCAAAATTGCTGCCGACAAAATTCCAGGCAAAACTGATGACGTAAGCATTGACCCAATAAACGTACACACTACACACACACACACACGTGTGTGCATACGATTTATGTGCATCAGCAGCAGCAATTGCAACAACAACAAATCGGCGGCACTCGTGACTTCGGCTTTGTCTGTTTCTGTTCTGTTTAGCTTTGTGTGTATTAGTGTGTGTGTCAGTGTTGGTTAGTTGGCGAAAAGTGGCCAATGAACTACATTGAACTTTGGGGCAGGCAACAGCAGCAGCACCAGCAGTCGGCCCCCGGGCAGCAGCTGTTGTATGTCATGTGTTCTTCTTCTTGTTATGCTTGCTGCTGCTGGTGAAATGCGAAAAATGCGTAGCGCAAATTTAAATGCAATTCACAATTTCAAAATGCCAAGAAAGAAATAGAAAAAAGCTTTATAAAAACGGTTTATGCTTTAATAGTAGCTGCAGCAACAGCTTTTAATTATTATTTCTCTTAGCATGATCACTTTTCTAATTAAGCATTAACAGCTGATAAATGCCTATGCACCCCCAACGGCTCATAAGTTAATTTTCCATCTAGCAGGCGCTTAAGAGTCTGCTCCCTCGTTGAGTTTAAAGCCTGTTAATCTTAACATGGTCGCTATTTTTAGCTAATGCTGTCTGCAGTACATAAATTAAGCTCAACAACAGCTGTTGTTGTTTGCATGTCAATAAATTGTAAAGTCATAACACACACATACAGGCATGTTTATGTGTGTGTGCAGGAGTACCACAAATATTTTGTACTTGACGTAGCAGCTTCATTCAACTTGTATGTTATGCAGCCGCCGCCACCGCAGCTTTTGTGGCTTGCTTTTCCATGCAAAGCTTGCAAATGGAAATTCCAGTGGAGCAACAATAGCAAAATAGCTGCAGCAAGTGCAACAACATCCGCTTTAGCCATGTTTGGCAACATCTCGTTAAAGAATGCATGAAATCTTTTGGGCGTATGCGACTTTGAGATGCTCTCTCAGAGTAAATTTCTAATTTGGAGTAACGTTTAATTCGCGAATGAGCATGGGTAAACGTGGAATCAATCATTTGTATTAGTATTTAATTAATTTCAACTAATATCAGTCAAGACAGAACAAAAAAAAGAAATAATTTACTTTAAATATATTAATATGCATTTTGAATCTGAATTTAAAAAAAAAATGGAATAACTTATATTCTATCTGTAATATGAATTTGTACATAGTTAAATATCTATTGATCAGCCATTCAAAAATTGCTTTGCGTAATTATATAATTTAAAATTAAAACAAATAAAATAGAATAAGGAATCTAATAATAATTTGGCTTAATAATGAAAATACTTGTAATTTTCGTTTTCCATTTAAAAAAAAAAAACAATGAAAGACTAATTTAAACTATATTTTAAATTTAATTAAGTTGAGAAAGAGGCTTCCCAAAAAATATACTTAATCATTCAAAAGTAAAAGCGAGTTTAATTAAATCAGCTTAAATCAAGGGTATTAAATGCACACAAATATGTGTGCTCGCGTGTATGCGTGTGTGTTGCGGAGAACGACCTTTGTCATGGATGGCAATGCTGTGTTGCTAAAAATAGACCAATGCAAGCAGACGACTGACGATGTCTAAGATTTTCTATCGTTTATTGTTGTTGTTCTTGTTTTCTTCTTTGAGCGCTTGTTCGTCGTTCTGCTGCTGCGCTGCTGCTGCTGCCTGGTATATTGTATTGTTGCTGGAATGCAGTGTTGCAACTTTACACACACACACACACACACACGAGGCATACCTTTGTGAAAATGTTTTTCAGCTACAAAAAAATAAAAACCGGTTTGAGATTCTTATGCTGCTATTTGGCTGGCTGTGCAGCATAAATTTGACTTTAATCCAAGCACAAACAATAATAACAAGAAAAGAACAGTCAAAAAAAAGAGCCGTATTTTACAGCTGTGAGCGCCGCTCAACACTCGCTCGCCCGCTCTCGCTCTCTCGCTCTCTCGCTCTCTCTCTCTCGCTCTCTCTCTCTCCCTCCCTCTCTCCCGTTCTCTCTCTCTTTGCTATGCTCTCTTTGAGCTGACATGTTGCTTTTTATGCTGCTGCCTGTATTGTTATTGTATTTGCTATTATTTGTACACTTTTCGTTTGTATTGATGCTCTGACCATTCTCACTGTGTGTGTGTGTGTAGGAGTGTGTTGGTGTCGCTGCGGCTAAACTAAAACTGAATTGAATGGAATTGTAAATTTATGAATGAATGAATGAATTTTTCAGCGCTATTGTGTGTGTATCTGTGTGCGTGTGTGTGTAAGAGTTAATTGGTTTAGTGTCATATATATATTATGCCCACGATTATTATTAATCTACACAGTTTTAAAGAGAGAGTAAAAGAGAGTGTGAGAGAGAGCGAATATAAGCTTACATTTTAGAGTCACTGTAAAGATTTATTTAGCTTTGATTTGCAGCTAATTTAAATATGCAAATTTTAAATAATATTATTTTTGTGCCGTAAATATTATATTTAATATAATTAATCTACACTACTCTAAAAAAGATAGTCTGTTTAAATTTTTAGATTGATTACTTACTTAATATATTTAACTTATATTTTTACAATCACTGTAGAGGTTTTTTATCGCTGAGTTTTAGCAGATTAAACAATACAATTAATTGTAATAATTTCCATTTTTTTTATGTCAAATATATATTTCTTAACAGAGAGCGACAAATAGCTTATTAGGCTGCTTACAGTCACAGTCACTTTTTTAGAGTCACTTTACAGGTTTCTTTAACACTAATTTTCAGTTAATTCGAAATATACAAAAGCTCAAATTTATTGATATATTTTATTAATTTGTTTACAGATTACAATTAGAGGATTCGGGTGGTGAGAATACGTATCACATTGAATACACGACGGAGCCGGCGCATCAGGTGACGACGAGTTCGCAGCGTCGCCAATCGAATATGAGCGCATCGAATACAACAAAAGATGGTGGGGGAGGAGGCGGCGGCGATATGATGAGCGGCGAGGGAGGACGGTGTTCGCCGAACAGCGGTAAACCGATACTCGATACGGAGAAACGTATACGGCGCGAAATAGCCAATAGCAATGAGAGACGACGTATGCAGAGCATCAATGCCGGTTTTCAGAGTTTACGTTCGCTGTTGCCGCGACACGAAGGCGAAAAGTTGAGCAAGGTAAGTGTTTACGGTTAAAGTTACGTTACGTTAAACATTACATTACGTAAAGTTATGTTTTAAGCATACAATATGTCAGATGTTTGAGCTACACTGACTGCTAATTGGATTACACATATATATATATAGCTGCGGGCAAAACATTAGTACATTCATATATTTTGGAAATAACTTAAAATATAGTTAATAAACAAGTAAGAGTGCTGTAGTCGAGTGAGCTCGATTACGATATACCTTGAACCCCGTTAAATATATGCAAATATATATTGGAATATTTCCATTTAAAATATTTACACTAAACGCACTAAGCCGGCCTGCAAGCGCGCTCTGCCGATAAACACGTGAATATTCATTCATATATATGTACACGCAATCGTAGGTATAGGAGTTCTGCAGAATACACACAAACCCATATTATTCACAGATGAGACGGCAAACATTTTTTTGTTTTGCCGAATTGAGTTATTTCATTATATTAAAGATTTTGAACAGGTCTCGATTTGATTACTATACAATGAGTCATATTTTAATTAAGTGCATCGAGAAGCAGCACTATTATTATTTTGACCGCAACTGTATATTGCCAATTGTGCTTTCGTATTTCAATTCCACACCCCCACTCCAATTGCAATTATAACTGGAGTAGCAAGCTTTGCAACTCTGTGCTTTATCTTCTGTTGACAAATTGCCAAGCTGCCTGCTGCTCTCGCTATCTCTCTCACTCTCACACACTGCTGCAGTCAATTTGCCAAAAACTTTCCAAAAATCTCAGACCGAATGTGTTTGTTTGTGTTTGTGTGCGACGTCAGCAGCGAAGCTCTTGACACATGAAGGTCCCTTTTTCCAGTCGCCGCCAGACGTCGCCGTCTTCATGTAAATATGGCAACCTTTTTGGCGTCGCCGTTTTAGGCTTTTTTTGTGCTTCTTTTTCTGCATACCTACGCATTTGTCTTGTATGTATTTTTTTCTTGTTGTTCACCTTGAGACAAACATCGATTTGTTGTGGCGGCATCTTGAGTGAGTGAGTGCGGTTGTGTTGGGAGAGGGGAGCGGTGCGGTATTGAGGGATATTGTGGGAGTGTGTCTTGGCTAAGCTGCAGACGGCTGTAAATCATACATGTCACATTAAATAAGCAAAAAGAAAACAGCGAAAAAATGGATTTTTATTTTATGTGCATACTTTCTTTTGGGTGATGGGCGGGTGTACTTTAATTTATGTGTCTGCTGTTAGGCAACATTCCCTTTTTTTTTGTTTGGGCAAGGGCGTATTTTGCAACACTGATAGAGAGATTTATTTCGTTGTGATCCTTGCACTTTTATTTATTGCTAATTGAAAAGTGTCAAGCTACAAAATAAAAAATAAATAAAACACCCAAAAACATAAATCATACAAAATAGAAAACGTAAAAGAAAAGTGCTCTGAAAACCAACATGTATCGATAGCAATGTAAACAACAAGAAGAAAAATAAAACGAAAAAAACGTAAATATTAAAAAAAAAAACAACGTTAGTCTTTTTACGACACACGCGTAAAATGTGCAAAGGGGTACGGCAAACAGCGACGTCGACAGCAGCAGCGCAGTTGAGCTCTGTGCCTTGATGAATGACATAATGGGCGTAGAGCAGCCGTGACGAATGACAGCACAGAGAGAAAGAGAGTGTGAAGGAGAGAGGTGTGTGGTGGGGTGGGCGTGTGCGCCCTGCAAGTAGTTTATGGATTTTTCTTTTATGCATGCTCTTTTACTGCTGCTGTCGCTGCTTCTTCTTCCTATGCATTTATCACACATAGTAAACATTGTAGTATGTAGTAGTTTTTTGTGTGCAAGCGAAATGGCAAATAGCAGTAACACTCTGTACTGCTCTTTTTGCTTGACCAACTTGGGAGTAGTAGCCAGCACCTCCTCCCCTTCTCTTCCTCTCTAGTGTTGAGCCTAGGCCTAAAATGACAACAAACTGACGACGACGACGACTGGAATCGGAATCAGGTCGCACGACGAATGCAGCTCACATACACACACACATGCACATGCACACGTAGAGCTTTCAGTTGACATAAAAGTGCGCAAAAAAAAATGCAACACTGCAGAAAGTAGCAATAGTCGCTGCTACTGCGCCATTGACAGTTTTTGCACACACATACAAACATAGAGCTTAACTTATGTATGTGTATGTGTGAGTACATAACTGTTATGTACACTACTGCTGTGGGCGACTGTGCCAAGTAGTCTGTGATTTACTCATTGAGGCGGGTCATTGAACTTACTCGCTAGGTGGCGCCAAAGTGCGCAAAAGTGCAGCAAAACTTACAGCGTACAGTTTACCGTTAGCCAGCAATAGCAGCAGCAGCTGAACTAACCTACATTAAAGTGCCGACTGCAAGAGCGAGACAGAGTGAGAGAGTTAGAAGAGGGGGTTGAGGAAAAAAGGACGCACAACTGGAATTCTTTTGGCTCTTCTTCAATTTGAGTTGTAGCTCCAAATTTATCGATCCAATTGTCGCCTCGTGGCGCTGCTTGGGCTTCCAGTGCGCGCCAAAAGCGCCAACTAAAAACAACCCTCGAGTTAGCGGCAAACCCCCCAAACTCCATCGAACTTGAATCAGAAGCCAGGCACGAGGAATAGATGACAAAAACACAGGGGCTAGATAGAGATGGAGAAACAGTGAAGCTTAACTATGTTGAGGAGATTGTTGAAAATTGTTAAACACTGTTGGAAAAAAAACTGAAATCTAAGCAATAAATATTTGAAGCACTTTTGCATTCAAAATACTAAATAAATGAAATAAAACACATTCATTTTAATATGTTTTCTACTTAGAGTTATGCCTGAAATCAAAGCCATATTTATTAATACAAATTAGTATTTATAAATTAAAACAAAATAAATGTTAATTCATATTCAACACTGCTAGTAAATCATTGTTTTCAATTGGATTAATTCCAGAAATCATATTTATTCAAATTAATATTTATTAATTCTGCAATCAACACTGCTGCTACATTAAAACTTTCATAGCCATGCTTTACCGTAGTCGGCGCACAGACTTCTCTCAACCAAAACATTGACACGAGTCTCCACTGAAGCCAAGCCCAAAAACAGCCAACAAATTCTGCTATCCTTCTCTCCCGTCTCCTCCCCCTCCTCCTGCCTGCCACACTGCTGCTCACAGCTGAGCGCAACGCACGCTCATACAGCAGGCAATGGGAGGGATGTGGGGTGGTCTAATAGGGGTTGGTTTGTTTCATTGCCATTTTGTAGCCTGTCTTGGCGCCTGTTTGGCGCCTGGTAGGCAGCTGTTTGTTTGTTTGCCGCCCGATGACGATTATTATTTCACTGCCTGGAAAGTGGCAGGTAGAGTGGAAGTAGGTGGTGGGGAGGAAGTTGGTTGGCTATTGGAATTACTGGAAATGGTATGAAAATTGGGCGTTCAGCTTTTATGTTGCCGCAGCTGCGCAGATGGACGACGACGAGTCTGTTGCTGATGACGGGGCTAAAAAGGCGTGGCGGAATCTGGGCAACGGAGTGAGGGGTGCAGAGTGTGTGTGCACAGTGCACTAGGCCATTGGCATCGTGCAACCTTTGCGTTTTTTGCGTCAAAGCAGCTGTGCCGGAATTGCGACCAACACCCAACTTAACAGTTGTATATAACGGTATAAATTCTGTATATAGTATTTACGATTATGTCAGCTATGTCTATATACATAATACTAGCATCACTTCGATATATTTTCTTATGAATGCAAAAGCAAGAGTTAGTTCTGCAATCTTTCCAAATGTTAATTTTTATTGTATATAATATATATTTTTTTTTCTTAATTTGAACAGTTTTTTAAGTCTTCTTCCCCATCGAAAAGGTATTTAAAATATCCTTCGAAAACAGTCTTTGTGAGACTGGTGCAACTCTTTTCGCAACTGTATATGTGGTTTAATATATAGCTGAAATAGCTGCATTTATTGTGTATGCAATTTCTGTAGCAAAGCTGACCTCAGACCTGCCACTTCCCCCTCTCTCTATGTGTATCTCTATCATATTTTGTTTCCACTATGCAATTGAGATGCATTCGCAAATTGCCGTCGCCTAATTAAAACTAGATACTTTATGTGTACTTATTTGCGTGGCGTGTAGTGTATGTAGTTATTAGGCGCAGTGTTGCCACATTGGGCAGATACGAGATATCGACTTAGCGCGAGCAATTGGCAGCACTGGTACTGCACTTTCGCAAGCAAGCAAAAAGAATAACCTAAAGCAAAGAGAGAGAAGAGAAAGCAGCGACAACAACAACAGCAGCAATAATGACGACTAGCTAAAGCATAAGTGCAATGGATCAATTACTTTGTGGGTTTTCTTTACACACACACACCGACAGACAGCAGGCAGACAAGTGTAGCTGTATGTGTGTCTGTCTGTGTCTGCTTGCAAAAATGTCGGTCGGTCGCTGACTGCGCTGCTCTGTCGTCTGGCGCTTACAAGATCGTCGTCGCCATCACTTTGTCAATGTTGCTTGGCTGGAGCAGCTTTCAAGCAGAGCTTACAGACTGCATTTGTTGTTGCTGTTGTTGTTGATTATATGGAATGTTGTCTCGCCGGATTTAATGACTCTGCTGAGCTTTAACGGTGCTTTTTTTTTTGTAGTGTTTATCAATGGCAAAAAAAAAGTCATTAACAGCATCGGCGCCAAATGGGAAAATCTGCATTGTTATTAGTTCCGTTCCGTTTTTGTTTACAGCAAATGTTGTGTGTATGTATGTGTGCGCTTTTTACAGCATCCGCAAATGCAATGAATCAGCGCAACAGCTGAGACTACAGCTGAATATAAATGTCAATGGAAACACATACGTACAATAACAGCAACAACAATAATAATGTAAACACATACATACAATAACAGCAGCGGCAATAAGAAATGCAAAGCAATAAGCAACACCCACAGCAGCAATAAGAAATGTAAAGCAAAGCAATAACTTCAATAAAAGATGCAAAGCAAAGCAATAACAACAAC